GCATCGCTGCTAGGAGCAAGGACGCTACTAGGGGCTCCTGGCCTTACAATGTCATGTCTAAGATGTCTAAGGCGAACAAATTTGGCAGTGTGGAGACCCATGAGCGCCGAAGTCGACTCCAAGGCTCATCACGGGCGTGGAGAGTCGAAACATTCCTCCGCCACGGAAATATTGCACATCATAGGAATCTTTTGCACTGATGTCCTCAGCTTCAAACGAATGGAGGCCATCGCTATTAGGTTCCTTTTGCATCCTTTTGCTTTTAGTTGGAGGCTGTTCAATCATTTGTAAATTGCATTCAGGCATAGCACTCCGCTTTGCATGAAGGTATTCCGAAGGCGTCGATGGCACCAGCAATTTGCCAACGAGTTGACTGTTGCGCCTCTGTAGCTGTCGAGACCCTTCTTGCGGCTGAGGAGCAAAAGAGGTGTTCACACCTGTCGGCAAGTGCCACCAGTGGTGAGTCATGTTGCTTTTTGGGAAAGGATTGGAAAAGTGACTTCTTTGTATCAACTATACTATACTTTGAAAGACCCCACCCTTGTCAGAGATGCTTTACCCACTGGGGTTGTCTGAGGTGGCCCGTGACGCGCATACCCCGCAGGGTGTGTTATGGGGCAACAGAAGTGGATGAAGTTGCCCCATAAGGTCAAAAGTTTATGAATCCAAGTTCAGCCTGCAATGATCCGCGCAGGATTGCCGGGCACATTCTGCGCAGGGCTGATGCCTTGCCGGTGCTCGATTCGAATCCCAAAGACTTAAGCTTATCATGGTGGACCTACAGCATTAGGCAAACTCATGAAGCCAAACGCGGAATATGGCAAAGTTGGATGAAGTTGGTCCGTTCCACTGCTCCTGGGACTTTGTCAGGCTGCACAGGCACAGACAATCAACTTTTAGCACAAGTCGAGAATGTGCTCTTCGTGCCTGGGCCAAAGGCCGTGGTCAATGGCGCTGAGAGGTCATCCCAAATGAGAACGCCCAAGAAGGGCGACGGCCCGATCCTCGACACACCAAATGTTTCAGTGCCCCAAATAAATGTCTTTGACTGAATGGCGACACTGTAAGACACTGTAATAAATGTAATGATCATGTGCAGTGGTTGACTTCTTTGCCGATGCCGAGGTGCTCGACGGTGTTCAGGAACACACGCATGTTATAGTACCCTGGCCTGCCAGCTAGAAACTTCAAAAACGGTTGTATGATGTCGTGTGTCCTTCCACAAGAAACGGACACGCTCTCCAAATTGGGTTTCCATCAACCAAATATTGTTCAGCTTCGCTACCTGCCTTCCGTACCTTCGCACTGATGCTTCTGTGTGCTTCTAGTAGGCCAAAGTATTCAACAGAGGCGAAACCACGCTTGGCTAGCTCAAGCTTCGCAGGTGGCCTTTGGATCTCAAAGTTGACGGTGTAAGAGCCATTCAAATTGTCGATCACTGTACCTGGTTCCCAGGACTCCTTTTAAGAGGATGTAGGAGCGTTGTGGTAGGTAGCCAACAAATTCGTTGCACGAGTTGCAAGTAGTAAGTGATGAGCTTATCAGTGCGCAGTCCATTTATAAAATGCCGAATATGTCTCCCTGGCCATACATGGTCCATGATTCACACATTCACAGTTTCTGGCGGCTTCTTCGGGGTCACCATCAAATCGATCATCTCCCATCAACGGATCGTGCGCCGGCCCCTGTCGGGTTCAAATGCGGAGACGTAACAGAACGCACCAGAACGCCACGTCGGTTCTTGTGCGTTCTACAGTGAAGTGCATGAAGAAAGAACTATTCAGAAAAAAAACACATTACTACTAGTAGCAAGAAGCTACTAGAAGAAAGAAGGAAAGAAAGACACTTCCGCCTCGAAGAGCACTTCGTAGACATCGCCACCAGTCACACGAAGGCGCCCTGCCAAGGTGGCGGAGCGCACCTGGTACCAGACCGGCTCTCCAGCCTTGGCGATCGTGTAGTCACCTGAAGCGATCGTACAAACAAAAGCGTCCTCTTGTTACTAGCAAGAATGCCTAGTAGCCATGCCAGGAGCCCCTAGTAGCGTCCTTGCTCCCCGTAGAAAGGCCAGGAGCCCCTAATAGCTTTATTGTTACTAACAAGAATGCTAGTAGTAGTAATGCCCTTGCTCCTAGTAGCTTCTTGTTACTAGTAGTAAGGCCAGGAGCGCCCTTAGTAGCTTCTTGCTCCTAGTAGCGATGCCCTTTGTTACTAGTAGCGTTACTACTAAAAACATCTAAAAACATCTAAAGCAAAAATGCAAAGCAACAAAGAAAGGGATAAACCATGGATTCTTTGCCGGACATCAATGGTGTGCTACTGCCACATCGGAATGGATGGTATTCAACAGAACTTTGGAATCCTGAAAAGGCAGTATTCACAGTCTCAGAGTTTCCACACAACAACTGTCATACCGAACACGATCCTACAAACGACCCACATAACCCTCACGTCAACACACTCGTTTTGAAAACGTGTCGGTTCGCTCCATGGTTGGTGCGGTCGCCCACCTGCCATGACGAAGGACTGAGAGGGATCTGAGATCGCCAAGAGGATAGTCACCTCCGAGTGCGCCAAAAAGGGTCAAACCTCAAACCTGAAAGGATCCCAAACTTTACATGTAAAAAACAAAGGTTAAAGAGTCACCGAAAGTGAAAGTCACCAAGAAATCCACCAAAAGTGCCCACTCAGCAAACTTCTGGAATGACTGTAGAGTCTCACGGGTCTTGTATTGGTTGGTTTGTCACAGCTCAAACATTCTTGGCTTTATTTGCATAGCAGCCGGATGGTTGGATAACATAATTTGTGACTAGAAGACGATCACTGGGTCTAATTCTTGCTCCCAGAAATCGCAATCGGAATCGCACCGGCATCGGAGAGTTGATGATCTGATTGCCATCCAGGCGAACAATGAGTTGCCTGCACGCATTGCATCGCAGTGGTCGTTCACCGACGAGTGGATCCGAAAAAAGAGTTCTGCGTTCAGAAAAGATGCACCACAAACCCGTGGGGTGCCCGGGGGCCGTATATTGCTTCAGTCGAAAAAGTAGGCGCTTTGTTTGGAGAAAGGTTTGCTCCGCTCGGTATGAAGGCAGCCGTTAAAAAAGAGAAAACGCGCTTCAGGTTGCAGCATCACGCTCTCAAATGAATCCAGTTCCTCGCCTGTAGTATCGTCCGGTGCTCACATCATCTTGGAAGATTGGATCTGGTGGCAAAGGTGTCCAAGAAGCTGCATAGAAACCCCTGAGGCTGTGGAAAGGACAAGAACTTCCCAGCGAGAAATCTCTGAGAACCCTCTCCGAGAACTCTCTACGAGAACACTGCAAGCTTCTCTAGTAGCTTCTTGTTATAGTAGTAATGCACTGGTTACTAGTAGCGATGCACTTGTTCCTAGTAGCAAACAGTGTTTCTATTTAATTCTTGTTTCTAATAGCAAACATTGTTACTACTAGTAAGGCCCTTGCTCCTAGCAATGCACTGGTTGCTAGTAGCGATGCCTTCAGTCTTTCTCCAGCCTTGCAGGATCCCAACGCACCGGCAAATCCATCTCCTTGACGCCCTTCATGGTGAACAAGCGAGCGCTTACGCTGCCCAACATGCTGCCTCAACACAATCAGAAACGATGTTCGCTACTAGGAACAAGTGCATCGCTTCTAGTAACAAGTGCCTTACTAGTAGTAACAAGGACGCTAGTAGTAACAAGAATTAAATAGAAACAATCAGAAAAAAGAAACACAAAAAATAGAGACTACACAAAGCACCCAGTACGGCACAGAGTGCTTTACACTAGTACAAGTCACACGTCATGCTAAACGGAATTGGGCGCCTCCCACCACCGGCTGTCCCAAGATGTCACGGAGATCAACCCGCACCTGGAAAGCGCAGAAGGACTTGAACAGTTAAAGCTAACATGAAGGTCTCACCACGAAATTGAGACCTCACGAAAAATAAATATCTAAAAACGCATAATTGCTGCTCGATTTTTGTGTGAGCAAGAAAGTACTGATGATCTCGTTGCTTCCTCGCATCACCTTGCTCTCATCTGTTGAAAGCAATCTTCCAACCTTCTACAGGCATAGTGGGCATCACCAATCTGTCTGTGCTGGTTTAGCGTAGTTGCCGGGGTTATGGGGTTAATCCGGAGCATCTGCGAGGTAAAAACTGTAAAAATCGAAATTAAAAAATACTGGTTTCCCGGCGGGGGGACTTTTTCGTCTACCATATCCGCGGTAAAAACGGTATGTTTACCGGAGGGACACCCCTTTTTTTCAGCATATCCGCAGTTTAAAAAAAAGAAAAAACACTTTTTCTACTGTGTTTACCGGGGGGCGCTCCTTTTTCTTCTACCACATTCGGGGTACGGCCCTTTTTCTTTTGCCATATCCGCGGTAATAACGGCAAAAATCGATTCTTTTTTTACCATTTTTACCAGGGGGCGCTTCCTTTTTCAATACCATATCCGCGATCAAAACGGTAAAATCAATGTTTGTTCTTTTTGTACCGTTTTGATTGAGGGGGGCAAACGGGTCTGTGTTTTTTTCACTTTTTAACGGAGGGTCACCGCTGTTTCTTCTGCCATATCCGCGGTAGGTAAAAATCGAAAGTTTTCGATCCAAGTGATGTAGTCTTTCATTGCCCTGCAAAAGTTAAAAGTCATGAAATTTTGATCAATCACCAAACTCCTCTTGTCGAAAAGGGCACACGCTCCTATATGATAGGAGGAGTGAACCCCACCTGATTATAGGAAGATACCCGGGCTGTAACATTAAACCTTTTTGTTGACAGAGGTCTTCTAGCTTGCGACCTGGTCCCGAGGCATTGTCGCGGTAAAAACGGTCCAAAGTGAAAATTACTACTTTTGTTGCTTACCTTTTTTAATGAAGAGTCGCTTGCTCTTTTTGCTTCTACCAGATCATTAAAAATCAGAGTTGTGTTATTTCCGTTTGTGTAGGTGGAGTGGACTTGTCCTTTTCTTTTCTACCATCTCCGTAGCAAAAACGGTAAAAATTGTGATTGTTTTAAAAATTTTTGACTGGGAGCGCTCCATGTTTACTTTTAAATGGCATATCCGCGGTAAAAAACGGTAAAAATCGAACAGTTTCTGTTTTTACCGATTTTACCGGGGGGGGGCGCCCCTTTTTCTCTACCATATCCGCGGTAAAAACAGTAAAAATTGATTATTTTTTTGTTTTACCTTTTTCTCCTGCGGGGTCGCGAAGCAAAACAACGCTCCCGAACCAGCTTAGCAATCTGTCATCACACATCATTTAGTATTTTCGGAGTGCTAGTACTGGTATTCGGAAACTAAACAGTTGTATGTGGAAACTGGAGAACACATGAACTACCCCCCTACCCCACCCCTTTATCCTAGACAACACGTCAACTGTCCATGCAAGTATCCATCAAAGTTTATAACTTTACAGAATACAACGACAATAGTTTCTGAAGACTAGTTTCTGAATGCAGCGCAGTTTCTGAATACGACTTTGTTCTGCTATTCAGCCACTTGGAAACACTATAGAGGAGAGAAGGAAGGTGGAGTTCAAGAGGATTGTACAACTGGATGGATGAATTTTAGACTGAATTGTCTTGAAAGGAAGCAGAAGCTCCAGCTTCCCGCATTCCATGCTGTATTCCATGTGTTGAGCAGTGTTTTCTCAAGCTTCTCGCCTCTGCTAAAGTGTCCACAATCACGGTCATCTCGGTGGTTGAGTCTGGCATTGCCAGAACCGTGGAGAACTCCGCACGTGCAGAGCCGCTGATCGCCTGAAAGTCTTCGAAGGGACTGCCTGCGCAGGCAAAAAAGTCCACTGAGCTGCCGAATAGTAGCGTCCTTGCTCCTAGTTGGGTCCAAGTGTTCGAATGGTAAAGATCGCAAAGTGTTTGTATTGAATCAAGAATCATGCTGAAAAAGAGAGAAATCAGCACACGGGCGAAACAATGGAGGAATAGCATCTTGCAAAAATCAGCGAGTGGGCGAATGGATCAAGAAATTTGCGTGGATCCGTGAAAACATACGCTTAAAAAATGTAAACACATACCCCTTGATCATCTTGATGCCCATTTGCACCTTGGATGTTCAAACCACTGCTTAGCAAACAGCCCTGTTGGATGGGCCACCAACCCCAGTAGTCCTTGGCAGTGGCGTGGCTCTAGCGGTTGGCTCTAAATGGATGTCAATCCAGGTCCGACAAATAGTAGCGTCCTTGCTCCTAGTAGCGATGCCCTTTGCTCCTAGTAGCGTTCTTGCTCCTAGTAGCGATGCCAGGAGCCCCTAGTAGCGTCCTTGCTCCTCATAGCCATTTCTCTCAAGCGAAGCAAAACGCTTTAGAGGTCTGAAAGACGCAAGACCAGGTGCAATGCTTTGGTCTCAAGTCTCTCAAGTCCCAAGTATCAGTGTCGTTTTGATGGTACAGCATGATCTCGATGGAGGTTGAGAGCTTCTCTTCCAGATCTTCAGCCATAGGGGTGCTCCACTCGATCTCAAATGCATAAAACCTGGCGATTACTTTCTTGGCCCAGCCCTGGGAACTTTAGGCATAAAACTCCAAAAGCAATGCCTTCTTACAAGAACAAGGAGCCCGAACGGGTCGACCACAGGATCATGGAAGAGCAAATCAATGCAAATAAAGTAGGGCACCTGTGAGCGTGCGATATGCTCGCAATTGAGAGCCCTTGATGCTTCAAACGCCAAAGCTTCAAACAGTTTGACTGCAGAGTACCTATCTTTGCCATGAGGTGTGTAGTGACCCATTCAACTGAGCCTCATCTCTCCTGGTGTCTTGATCCCCTACTTTGCGCAAGCTCGAAGCTGGCACAGCGGGATAAAAATCCGAAAACGTTTGAAAACCAAGGGCGTCCTGGGGGAGAACACGGCCAAGTAAACAATTGGAATGTGCCGACTTTGCACCTCTGTCATGCAATCCTCTCGAATCATCTGCTCACGTTTCTGTGGCACGACCTGAGGCATGAGGCGACAGTTTCTTCGACTCTTGGAGTTCTCTTGACGTCATGTGTTTTCCATGTGTCCGACGTTTCCGACGTTTCCATGTGCTTGTCTTTAGCCTTTGTTGTTCTTTTCTGTGTGTTTTTAAAGTGTTTGTGGTATGAGAGTCAGGAGAGGGTCATAGAAGACCAGCAGCTAGCTAGCAGTAGCAAGGAAGCTACTACAATTACTACATGCAAGAACGCAGAGCCAGGGCTCCTAGATCGTTGGGAGAATCACATAAACGACAAAGATGCGCATTGGAAAGAACGACAATGTGACCAGTGGGTGGTGTTGCTGAGTTGGTTGAAGACAGCACACCGTTGCTGAAAGCATTCTTGCTCCCAACACAAAGCGAGGCTACCAGGAAAGAAATGTCGAAAGGACGCCATAGTAGCGTCCCTGCTCCTGGTAGCGATGCCAGGAGCCCCTAGTAGCGTCCTTGCTCCTAGTAGCGTGGCACTTGTTACTACTAGTAAGGCACCTGTTACTAGAAGCGATGCACTTGTTCCTACTAGCGTCCTTGCTCCCAAAAGCAACGCTTTCCTCAACGGGATCGTTCCAAAAGCGTTCTCGTAGCTTTCCTCACCGAGGCACATCTTCGGGCACTCGCTTCGTGACCGAGCCGTCGTTCCAGAAGAAAGCCCGCACCTGGCAGGTACAGTTGCAAACAATCTGAATCTAAAGTTCAACCCTGTTCAGATTCAAACCGACTCATCAAATTCAAACCACTTGAAACAAGAAAGCTGGTGTGAGATGGCAGCATCTCTCGAACGCTGGCTTTGTCAAGGTCTATATATGAACCTTTTGTGGCACAAAAGTTATATAAGTACATCCAGTCACAAAAGGATTGGTAGCTTCCTCGCCCTCGAGGTTGCAACAAAACTGGTTGGAGACCACTCCAATGGAAAACAATGCAATCCAACAACCAATGGTGACCACACCACAAAGTACCAGGTGTCCACACCCAACGAAATCCGGTTGCCCTTATCCAAAAGGGCCCAAGGTTCTCCTCGCAGCCTTTTCCTCAGACCATGGCACAAGCGAATCCTCGCCACACCCGCCCTCGCTCGAGAGATGCGACAGCGGAACATCGGCAAGATCGAAAAGGGCAACATGCGACCTGGTTCATTTCGACATACCACTTATTTTCTTTAAGTGGTCTCAGCATGTTGACCGCGTGCGGATTCTCAAGGTTTGGTTGGATGGCAAAAACATGCACGAACACAAAAGGCATCTGGCTTTTATGAATTAAGGCGGGTGATATTTTACCTCAAGGCTTGCTTCTTGCAAAAAGACTTTCCCCATTAGTCATAGTTACACTATGCACTTTCTCAAGTCCTTGCAGTACACTCACTCCAGAGTGCCCCTCTCGAAAAAAGCCTTGGCAGCTCTCACTTCGATGTGGACGACTTGGCTTTTCCATCATCGAAGATCTGTGCATTCGATCTGAGCCATTTCAGTCTGGTTCTAGTGTCGGCTCTTTGTTTGAGAAGTTCGGATTCATCTTGGAACTTATACTTTCCAATTCGAAGTACCTCTCTTAGGATCGTGTTGTCCATGATTTTTGTTAATGAGTCCGCGATCTGAGCTCCCGAAGGAACCCATCTCAAGCAGATTCCGGTTTCGATGCGCTCTTTGATCAATTTGGCCTGTAGCAATGTTCTAAACTCAGAGCATGATGGTGTCGCAGTGCGACTCACAAGATCATACAAGCTTTTACAGTCCGTGGCCATGATCGACTTCTCTGGCTGGACTTTGTCAAGTAGTTCTTTGGTTTGGCACATCGTTTCGTTTGGATCGTGCAATTCGGTATCTTTGACTAGTGAAAATGCAGGTGGAAGTCGGGTCAATGTCTTGTCTCCAAGTCTCCATGCACATGTTGAATCAACTATCCATGCCCAGAATAGGCGAACCCATTCAAGAGTATCTATAGCACCAGCTAGTGACATGGATTACTTTCTGGATTTTCCTTGATGCCCAGATTATGGGGTTGACTCTGCTTTGTTGATTATCTTCTAGTTGTGTTTGGCAGGCCATAATGAGCAACCCTTGATGAGAACTATCGTTCTTGTTTGAGGCAAAAGAGGCATCTGAGAACGAAAGAAAACGGGTTTCACTGATGGGTATTGGTTGGAATGTGATCTTTGTATCTGCATACCGTTTTGCTTCGTGTAGGACACGATTTGCTTCAAGAAGGTCAGTGACCTTGCCGTTGTTGATCCTGGTCTGGAGCTGGCCCAATCGGCTGCACAGGTCAGGTCTTGCGTTGACTGCTGCATACAATAGGCTGCCTATGACTGCACGAAGACGCGTTCCTCTTCGGTGATCAAGTCTTCTTGTTGTTTTCTTCGAGCAGGGGTCAACTTTATAGGCTCTATTTCTCTGACATATTGGGACTGATCTAATGATATTGTCATGTCTGACCCTTGACTTACATGAATTCCTGTAAACACGAAGTCGGTATGCTTGCGTGATCCAAAAGGATATTTCTTTGACAATTCAATCAGCTTTGCTTCGAACAGGTGATTTCCTCCAAAAATGCCATCGTCTACATGTAGACCGATTGCTCCACATGTTTTCCCTTCTGGGTCGGTCAAAGTGAACACACATGGGTCCATGGGACATTGTTTGAAATCAAGGTCAAGCAACCCTTTTCTGATTTCACGGAACCATAACAGAGGGGCATCGGCACGACCATAAGCTCCCTTTAAAAGTTGAAGTACTTCACCCTGACGCATTTGCAACTTGCTTTGAAATTCTGGAACCGGTTCTAGTCCAAGCAGTCTTTCGTGATCGGCAGTACCTCTCAAAAAGGCAGTTTTCACGTCGAACGAGGGGATACGCCATGAGTTTGCTGCGGATAGGTGGAGTATCAGTGAACGGCCCAATTTTGTCAAAGTGGGTGAGTCTCTCTGGATCTCGTGTAATTTCGGATCCATGAATCCTAAAACTACCAACCTTGCCTTTGGGATTCTATTTTGATTTGAGCTGGTATTCGACAAATGTTCGTTTGTCTCACTGTTCTTCCATGTCAAAACCCATCGACATTTCAGGATGTTCTCTGGAGGAATACGATGTCGGGCTATTTTAGCCACTGTTTGGGTTTCTAACCAGCTATCGATTTCTTTTCTTTTTGCAGTGTCAAAGCGGGCACGGTCGGCTGGACTCAGGTTGGACATCTTCACTTCAACCTTTTGCCGTTTTGCATTTGTCACCAAAAGTGTTATGCATTCTTCCTGATTAGCGGCACCAGCAAGTTGTCCTATTTCCTGATCTGTAAGATTGAAGCTGATTTCCCAGCATTGTTCAGTTTCTAACGAAAAGGCTTCACAAAGCAGTTCATCATCTGAAGGTACGGGAATGTCTTCGGGATTCAGGTTCTCTGGCATTTCAGGGTTTTGTGTCTCTGAATGTGCTGATCTTGATCGTATCTCTGGTTCATTATCGGGTTGTTCACTGGTGTTGAATTGTTCTCTCTTCCAGATTCTGCGGACATCGGTTCGGTCGGAATGCTCTCTGATTCTGGCAATCGACGGTCCTGAAAATTTCTGGAAATCTGTTGAGGATCCTTTTCACTGGAGATCATTACTTGTTTTTCATTTCGGTATTGCACTTCTTCAACAGCTGATAGATGTCTGACTTGTTCTGGTGATGCACGAAACAGTTGATGGCCCCGACTTGCCCAAATAGTGTTTGAACCTTCTTGAATGATTGTTTTAAAGGGTCCCATCCATCTACCGTCTTTTCTCCAGATCATGATCCATTCCCCCGGGTAGTATCTACTTCTGGCTGGTCGAGACCTTTGCACGAGTGCACGCCGAAGGGTCTGGCTATTGTCGACTTGTGCGAATGCTTTCCTGGCCTTTTCTCGGACCTCGAGTTCTTTTCGAAATCGAATTCCTTCCGGTGTTTCTTCTGTGGCTTGAAGGTGTGCTGAGGTCTCTGAGTCACTACTTATTGATCCTGGGAACTTACGAAGCTTTCCAAAGACTAGCGTTTCAGGTGGGTATCCTCTATGTCTACTCCAGCAGTTCTTTGTTTGAGTACAAATGGCCAAGTTTTGTTCTAGTTTATCATAGTCGTCTATGCTTTCATCTTGGTCCATTCGGCTGAGCATCTCCTGGAGAATTCCTCCATGCCTTTCAGCTCTGGAATTTTGCCATGAGGCTTCTGGTGGAATCATGCGAACTTTGATGTTGTGTTTCTGCATGAAATTCAAAAACTCCTCATTGCAGAACTCACCGGCCGAATCAAGGCACAAAAGACCTGGCGGTCCTCCCCAGCTGATCCAGCCCACTGTTAGGGCTCGCAGTGCACTGTCAGTCGTTCTTGACGGTGAACAGATTGCTGTCTGGAACGTGGTACTGCGGTCGACAAAGTGGTAAAAGTGGAATGTTTTGCCACTTTTGTTGGTCCACGTGACTCCGTCCATGGATACTACATCACCAAAATCTCTTTCTTCATGAATGACGGATGGTCTTGGGATGTTTTGACTCTTGCATTCGGTACATGTTGAACACTTCATGTCTGGTATTGCTTCAAGGACGTATGGCTGACAGTTCATGTGTTTGCAAAAGGTTTGGAGCTTCATACTACCAGGATGTCCGAGATTCTTATGCAGTTTCAGTAGCCATTGTTGATCTTCGGCTTTCAACTCCAGGAATTTGGGGCCATGTTTATGACTTGCGAGATCTATCATTTCTCGAATCGAAGTAGTCGAATCTTCATGACTTGAGCTTTCTTGGTTATCGTTATCAACAGATCTTCTTTTTGCAGGCGGCTCACTGTCGACATCGGCTGACTGTGGCAGTCTCTTCTGGGACTCTCGAGTCGTCGCTTCTGAATCATCCGGATTCGGATGAGATGGATTTTCCAATCCGGCCGAATACCCGATTCGAGGCTTGGCAAAAACCGTCAAGCTGACTCGGGTGTACACTTGCGTCTAAGTCTCCTATAGGACATTCTTTCCCAGTTTTCCCATTCTGGTTCAATTACCACATCCTCGAATCTTCTTCGAATGCAAATCATCTTGCGGAGAGGGCCCTCTCCGGGATGCATGACTTTCAGTGGACCTAGCATTCTGTCAACGCCTCGGCACAGAACAAGGTGGGAGACCTCCTTGTCAGGAATCATGGCTGCTACGGCATCGATTATGGGACCACTCTGGATGACTGAAGGCCCTACTCGTTTTGCGAGACGATTTGCTTCCTGCATGATGGTTTCCCATGTTGGGTTTATGAGATCTATTGAAGTCTTTTGACACAACCTTCTCCTTTTTGTGGGGTGATCATCGCCCAAACGCGTTTCTTCGACTAAGGTCCATTGGGGTCTTTGATGCTCTCGATTTAGACATGCGACTACCTGTCTTGCGAACTTTCTTGGATATCGTTCGGTGAACGACGACAGTTGAATGCTCTTAGACGTTTCAGGGTCTCGAACATGTCCTGCAATCTGATGGTGTTCATGATCTCTCTGACAGTATCGAAATGTAACATCGTGTGTAATTCTTTGGATGTTGTCAGGACCACAAGTCTTTTCCTTATAGGTTTTCCTGTTTGGGGGTGAGAGAGATCTCCCACATTGCACATGTCGAATTTGCTCGGCTTTGCAATCTGGCTCATACGGACAAAACTGGGGTGTCTCAGCATCTTCGAACCGTCAGGTTGTTCTACATGACAATGTTTGTTCCTTCCAACCTGGTTTTCGAACAACACTTGAACAAGTGCAATCTGCCAAAGATGTTCCCTTTGTTGATTCATGGTGTTCTCGAATGCTTCGACGGATTTGTTCATGTTCAGTGAGGTCCACTTACACCATGGCTTGCACTCAGGACTTACCCAAATGTTTTCCGGTTGTTCGAAGAGAATATGTGCAAACATGTTTTTCCTGTGGTTCTCGTTTCTGAGATCACCTTGCATCAACCCGAAGCGAAAAGCTTTCAGGCCGCGGGCTTGGCTTTGACGGACTAGCTCGCTTTGAGAAGAGCAGAATATTTCATACATGAATGTCGGTTCCTTTGCATACTGTCGAATGACCTGTTGTGCTTGTGAGAACTCTTTACGATACTTTCGAACAAGGGTCTGATATGCTGCTCGTGTCTTGGCTTCATCCCAGAGGTCAAAATCTAGTTGAGGCTCTCCAAAATGATTGATACTGAAACACTCGGCTGTGAGCTTTTGATATTCCGGCTCTTCTAGATCTCCGGATGCTCTTGTTTGACCACAGTCCAGTTGCTGGGCTGCTCTACCGATGCACTTGCCAGCGTCCTCACATGATGGACTATCTCCTGGAGTGTGTGTTCCACCGAGTTCATGCGCCCTTGCAGATCGTAGAGCTCCTCTGGGAACGACGGGCTCATTGCCAAGTCCAGTGCTTGAGGATCTGGAGCATAGGTCGGCACATTCGCTGGATAGGCCTTTGGTTTGGCCTTGGATTTCAGAGCCGTCATGGGACCTTTCGTTTCGGTCGTCTTGGATGATGAAGGTTCCACAGGTGTCTGATGCAGATAGTACCGATCCTCCGGGCTGAGCTCTTCCTTTTCCATCTTGTCGAGACGGAGTTGCACATACCGGACAGTATATACATCCGGTGTTCCTTCTTGGTTGAGCTCTCGAATTTGCTCACAACGAATCTTGTCCACTGGGTGTCGGCAAATGCTTCGGGGAACTTGCATCCCATCTTCGTCTTGCCAAACATGATCACTTGTTCTTCGAGATCGGTCAACGTCATCTCGTCGATCTCGACATGATCCTCCTCTTCCTTCTGTTGCTTCTGGAGGCGAAGCAGCTGGGCGGACAGCGCGGACATGATCGGGCTCACAACACGGGTCACCGGGAGCGGCACGGACCGAAGAGCTTGGAGCACAAGGCTGAGGTTTATGAACCTCCAACTTGGATTCATGCTTCATGTCCTGTGTCGAAAAACCCTCCGAGACGGCCGATGAATTTGCTGACTTGTAAACATGCTGACTGTCGAACGATTCACGGCCCTGTACTTCAGCTGGCACAACACGAAATGTTCTCACACATCGATCGGGATTGGTTGGTTCATCGTGGCTTTCCTGCGGAGAACTCTTGGCGATCAAGATGGAATCTGGCTCGCTGCACTGTTTCGAGGTTGGTGACTCCCACAATTGATTGATGTCCAGCAAGAAAAGGTTCTTACTTGTTTGTGTCATATGCAAGTTTCGGTTCAAGCGTTTTGACCACAATGTTCCTTTTTCGGTGTCGATGACCGCTTGAACATGTTTCAAGAAACTGCTTGACAACAAAAATGGGGTCTTCCCCTCGACAATGGCTATGCGAATCCAGGTTCCTTGAAGCGGCAGGAGAAGCGCCACTTTGCTCGGGAGAGTTTGGTGGTTTCCAAACTTGAAAATCAAATTGCATTTCGTCTTCCGGGCCTGTCTTTGGATCTCACTAGGTAGATTGTTTAACAATTCGGAAACCTGTTCGCTTCCAATTACCGTTTGTGAGGCACCAAGGTCAACTACTCCTGTAGTTCCTACCGATGCGAACAGGCTCGGAAGTTCTTCAATCGAGTTGGACTTGGATGGGCTGGCTTGAGCACTCACCTCAGGAAGACATGCATCACGGCTCTTCCTGACAGGGATCTGGAGTTTGGCTCGAAGCTTCGTTTTGAACTTCTCTTCAAAGAACTTAACTCTTTGTTCGACTAAACCAAAAACACAAACATGAGTGTCCTCAGGGTGTTCATTGTTCTCGAACGAAATCTCTGGAACTTGGTTGAGGTCGAATGACACGGCTGCGGAGGTAGGGGCTACATAGGCACTCTTCTCGGATCCACTACCTTGGCTTTCGGCAGACTTGCGGACTGGGCATTCTGCACGCCAATGACCTTTCTGATTGCAGTGCCGACAATACGACTCGGCAATGCGCTGTTGAAGGCTTCGGAAACCTTTTGAGCCTTTGAACCCCTTTCCTTTACCTTTACCTTTGAAACCTTTTGAACTTGAGGCACCTTTGCCACCACTCCAAAAGCCTCTGGCCTTCACACGGTCTTGGAGTCTCCGACGGGCATCTTGATACGAAGAAAAATATGCTGACAAATCTTGATCATCTTGAATCACATCTTGTATTGCGGCCTCAAATTGAACAACCAACGCGGCATCGGGATCATCTTGGGCTAATGCTTCAAGATTTTCTTCGTCCAGGTATTCCTCATGGAAAGACCAGTCGGGGTCCTCATCGTTGTCCTCTTCTGCTACGAATGCGGTGCTGTCGTAGGTCTTCAGGGATTTTTTCCTTTTTCCCTGAAGTCATCTCCTGAAAGAAGGAGGATCCCAGCATCCTCACTGCAGCTTGGACCTTTTGCATGGTCAGAGTTCCACCAGATTCCGCCCCGGCTTCAACCAACACACGCTTTTTGTCCTCAGGTGACAGTCGACTGCCACGCGTATGCCTGAACTTCTGGCAGGGATACCTTCTTCATCAAAACCTCGGTCCATGTGACATCACTGCGAGCCAAAAATGAATCCGAACTCTCATCCGGTTTTTGGACACACTTGTAGATTGCCCTTTCAACAATTTCGTATTTCTTCTCCAAATCGATCTGACCGAATTGTCCGAATACGATCTCAATGATCTTCTCAATGCCACCTTTGTCACCTGTCAGGACCTCTGATTGTCGGAGTTCAAGCTTTTGAAATGCCGAGCCCTTTGTATTGAGAACAATGCGAGTTGCCAATTCTCTCAAACGGGATTCCGGCCAAGCTTGCAAGATCAATTTGATCTTTTGAGACCACTGCTCAACACTGTCAACACCCGGGTCAAAAGTCGGGACCAGCTGTGCCAATTGCGACGTCAGGGATTGCGTCGTCTCGGAACTAGCGGTAGCCATCCCACAATCGACCGGGCTCCGCTACCAATCACAAAAGGATTGGTAGCTTCCTCGCCCTCGAGGTTGCAACAAAACTGGTTGGAGACCACTCCAATGGAAAACAATGCAATCCAACAGCCAATGGTGACCACACCACAAAGTACCAGGTGTCCACACCCAACGAAATCCGGTTGCCCTTATCCAAAAGGGCCCAAGGTTCTCCTCACAGCCTTTTCCTCAGACCATGGCACAAGCGAATCCTCGCCACACCCGCTCTCGCTCGAGAGATGCGACAGCGGAACATCGGCAAGATCGAAAAGGGCAACATGCGACCTGGTTCATTTCGACAATCCAGAACCCTTCAGTTTAAGATTTGAATATTTGAATTCCATAGGAACTTTTAGGCCTTTGAAGAGAGCAGCACAGTTGCTCAACGGGGCTGGCCTCAGAGCCTGGGGATGCAATGATGCCCAAGGCATGCCTCATTTGACAGTCCGTATACAGCATAGATATGCACATATGTGTATATATATATATATTAAAAATATGTATAGACACATTGTATAGAACTAGAAACTCCTTCATAGATCTTTATAGTCAGGAAATCTCGGCAAGATACATTGAGAAACAACTTGGAACAAGCTGAAAGATATGGGGGAGGGGTAGAGGACGCTACTAGGAACAAAGGGCATCGCTACAAGGAGCAAAGGACGCTACGAACGGAGATTTTCCGCTCTGTAGCTGCCTTACTAGTAGTAACAAGTGCCTTACTAGTAGTAACAAGTGCCTTACTAGTAGTAACAAGGGCATCGCTACTAGGAACTGCCATTCGACACGACTAAACTGGACTCCAAGGGGCCCGAAGTTATAGGGCCATCTCGCGGTACGAATGCACTCCTCGAATGTGAGGGTCACTGGTCTTCATGTTTGGCGTGTTGCTCTCTTAAGTAGACACATACTCAAAAGTGTCCAACAAAACCCTTGCCTAGTAGCTTTCCATCACCTACTAAACTAGCTTACCACCGAACCTTACTCCCCAAGAACCTAGAAACAAAATGAATAGTGCTAGGGCTTTCCTGCGCTTAGTAGCTTACTTGCTTAGCTTATTGAAACTACTTACTTTAAGCCTACCTACTGTAGGCTACACTAGCACCCTAACCGGGTGCCCTCGGTCCAAGATGCGAAGTGTAAAATGAACTTCCACCGGACAAAGGCAGGAGCGAAGGTCACATCAGGAAACCAAAAGTCCAAGACGTGGTCAATGCGGGTAATGTCCTGCCCATCAGGGTCGGGCAAATCTGTTTACTTTCGAAACCAAAAGGGAAACCGTGTTTTAAAAAATATGCGATCAGTCTCGTCGCAGCGAAGCGAGTCGCGCTCCGGCTGCTGAGGAGCGTTCCGATGGATGTTGCGATGCCACCAGTACTCCGCGAAAATCCCCGGCACCGATTGCTCGACCTGAGACGAGGCGTCACGATGCGGCGCACGCAACGTGAAGCGGCAGCTGCTAGTAGCGTCCTTGCTCCGTTCGTAGCGATGCCCTTTGTTCCTAGTAGCTTCTTGCTCCTAGTAGTAAGGCCAGGAGCCCCTAGTAGCTTCTTGTTACTAGTAAGAATGCTACTAGTAGAAATGCCCTTGTTACTAGTAGCGATGCCAGGAGCTCCTAGTAGCGTTTCACCTCAGCATTGAAGCCAGACCTGAAGCTTGTAGATGCCCGGCAAGGTGGGTGTGAAGCGACCGGCATAGGTGCCTGGAGACTTGCATCTCGAGACTGCCACGGCCAGAGCCATAAGTCAAATTGTGCCAAGTTGGTTGAAAGTTGGTGCAAATTGACAATCTGGAGGCCATCGCTATTAGGTTCGAGGCCATCGCTAGTGTGTGGGAGGCAATAGCCGGTGCCAATCCTACCCCCCCCGGGCGCGCGCGCGCGCGAAAAGGTCCTAGTAGATTCTTTGCTAGTAATTACAATTCTAATTCTTATTGTTACTACTAGTAAGGCACTTGTTACTAGTAGCGTGGCACTTGTTACTAGTAACTTGTTCACCTATCGTCGGTGACATCACGAGACGACCACACACGCCACCCTTTGCGCCTGGTATGTTCGTGGGAGTGGCCGTGGTAATCGTTCCAACGGACTCCTGCAGTGACTGTCACAGCCGAAAACAAGAGGCCACAGCGACGGTCACTCACCCCCAAGGCCTCTAGGCCCAAGGCCCTAGGCCCTGGGCTAGATCGTTTGGTGCCATGGCGGCCTCACTGGCAATATCACCCTGTGAAAAGCGAGATGCCACCGTGTCCGTCGCTTTCAGAGATACAAGCGACAACACCCTAACCTTCCAGCTGACTTAGAGAACCAAAGTATGATCTGATTGAAATTAATCTGCAAAGGCAACTGGAAGGAGTGCTTGGAATGTATGTACAATACCGCTTCGGTACATCGTGCAGTTCGCTTGTGTACAAAAAAGGGCCAGGGGCCAGGGGCCATTTCAGCCGAAGCAATCGTCAAGCACTGGCAGTTGCATTGACCAGATTTGCCCACGTGATCAAGAGAGGGGAGAACACCCCAAGTGCTCAATCCATGTCCAAAGGGTCTTGCCAAAGCGCCCCAGTGCCAAGTGATCGGCTTTGGTGCTAGCAATCAGCAACAAGGCTGCCACCTTGCCAGGATGAGTTGGAAGTACCTTTGGTCTGACTCTGAATTTTGGTCTTTGCTCTACTCTTCTCAACCAAATCTTTAACATGTTCCTCAACGTGCCGGGCAACATCGTTGGGCCATAAGGCAATATGTCTTTCCTGTGAGTTTCTTGTCGTGACACATGCGACTCATCCTGATCACAGACACGCCAAACCATGACCTGCCAATGACACATACCGGGCCTTCACATGGCCCCAGTAGGACGCCACGTAGAGCGGAGAGCGTTTCTCGCAGTTGAGCTTTGCAGGATCCGCTGAGGCTTTCAGCAGCGCACGGACCACCTCTACGTGGCCCCGCTTGGATGCCACCCACAACGGTGACGTGTCCTCACGCGTCAATCGGTAACAAATTCTCCGGATTTTAAGGATGAAAGGAATGAGTCGAATGAGCCTCCCTTGCTTTAAGATTGAAAGAAGGAAACTCGGCTCCTATGAACTTATATCATAAGCAAAAATAAACGAGCTGCTGGCTTAGTGCGAAGTGTCGTGCCGATCTTGCTTGTCTTGGTTGGCTCGTGCCTTCAGTAGCAGCTGAACCACTTCCACGTGACCCTTCCAGGAAGCAACCCACAAAGGAGATATTTCGTTGTGCGCAGGCAGATCTAGATTTGCCCTTGCTTCGATCAAGACCTGCGAGACTTCCAAGTGACCCTGCTCACATGCCACCCATACCTCAAATGAATTCACGTCTTTGCGGCACGCTCTGGCACCAACGTGGACCAACGTCTGAAAAAAAACATAAAACAAATAAAAATGGGCACCAGGTTGTTGCTGCGACACTGGCGATTCCATGTTGTGGTTCATCTTGTTGCATTGTGCGTTCGCCTTGAGCAAGAGCTTCACCACTTCCAAGTGACCCTTCCAAGACGCGACCCAAAGCGGTGCATTCTCATTACAGTTCGCCCGATTCACCTCTGCGCCATGCGCCAAAAGCAAGCGCACTGTGTCCAAATGGCCCTTGTTGGCAGCGACAAGTAACCTGGATCTTAGCATCAAAGGTGCTAAAAGGTGTCAGCGGGTTAAAAGTACCAGTCTTCGACCCACAAAACGATCTAAACAAGCAATCTAAACAAACTCTGCAATAAACTATCACGGTTGTTTCAGAGTAGAAAGAACATCAGGTGTTCAATCCCCGTCAACTTCATCGAAGTTGGGCCGGAAAGAGGTTTTCTGCTTAGAACATTTAGGGCCCAACCTAATGAGGCTTCCGTTTCTGAGCTAGCGATGCACTTGTTTCTACTAGCTTCTTGTTACTACTAGTAAGGCACCTGTTACTACTAGCGATGCACTTGTTTCTACTAGCTTCTTGTTACTACTAGTAAGGCACCTGTTACTACTAGCGATGCACTTGTTTCTAATAGCTTCTTGTTACTACTAGTAAGGCACCTGTTACTACTAGCGATGCACTTGCTCCTAGTAGCTTCTTGTTACCATGGGAGCCCCGGAAATGCCAGTAGCTTGCCTTCTTGCGCCAGTCTAACTTTGCCGGACGCCAAAAGATCGAGCCACGGAACGGCGACTTGCCTTCATGGTCGGCCTTGTCAACTTGGGCATCAGCTTCGAGCAACAACTGCACTGATGTCATTTGTCCATGTAACGCTGCAAGCTGCAGCGCAGGTGCATTGGTCACATCTCGTGGTAAGTTAGGGTCTACGGCCTGAAGGGAACAGCAGAGCATGATATGCGCTAAAAAAGGCTTATGTGTGCAACAGTTTTTATACAGAAGTTGCGTCTGTTTTGGTCTGGACTTGCCATACAAATACCTCATACAACATCCCATTGGCGCAAACACTTTCCGCATGACTTCTACATTCTTCCAAAGAGTTTGTTCTTGCTGGTAGTCAGGGGTATTTGCCGCCGAGGCATAAAGGACTCTTAGTAGGTCCAGTGTTGGCCTTCTTCAAGACATCTTCCAGAAGGGAGTCTGTTCCTCTCCTCGCTGCTTCGAGAAATTCCTTGTGTGAAATGGAGCTTGAAAGAAGAGTAGCACACTGACTAAGAAAAATACCGAAGATCGTCTTGCATGGATCAAAAGAACGGCAAACTGCCAAGTGTATCCATACGCAGCGCACTGCCCCTGTTTGGGGAGAAACTGGAAACAACAATGGTTCTTTGAAATCTGAGCAGATGAGCAGTGAGCAGCAATTTGAAAGCAAAGCACAAGCGTGCAAAAAAACATTTCAACCTGGCTGAGCAGGAGGAGCCATTTGTGTCTGCCCGTCTGGAATGCTGAAGGGCAGAATGAGCAAATGCAAATCCACCGGCATGTGAAAGCCTGAGAGCTGTTCATCGTCATAGAGCAGCTGATCCTGGTAGACCAAGCGTTGCCGGTAGATGGAGACCCCGATCAACGACTTGCAATGCCTAAGGCGTCGTGCGGTTTGTACCTAGTAGCTTCTTGCTCCTAGTAGTATGGCCAGGAGCCCCTAGTAGCGTCCTTGCTCCTATAGCTTCCAACACCGTTAGAAGAGCGACATGTTGGTGATCTGCGCGAAAACCGACATGACGCGTACATGACACGTACGGGAAGAAATGCTCCAAGTTGCTGCTTCAGCGCCCGCACGCTCAAACGCTCCAGACCGCCCTGGGATGGCACGTTGACTCGACCGCTCTGCAGCGCTCCGATGGCCTCAGCGTCCAAAGAGCAAATCACCTCGCCCGACACTGCGCTGCAGACCCGCAGGACACGCAGGGTCGGGTTCCACACCGCGTCAGGTTCAAGTGGCATGGAACGACGGAAGCCGAGGAAGCCTTTTTGTTCCTTTTTGATGGATGTCAAGCTCCCAACAAAAGACTCTTGTAAAAGCCCATGCTAAAGCTGCGTGACTCACAGCTGAGCGCATGTTTCAGGAACATGTGTCTCTCGTTCCATCTAGTGGCCCTCTGAGCCAAAGTGCTGCCAGCTGCAAAGACCAGTCGAAAACAAGGCTGGAACAGGAAAGCTGGGATTTGGAAAAAGGGTAGCTAAGAAGGTAATGTAAAAACATGGAATCCAACAGGCTAAGAAAGAGTTAGAATAGAAAAGAATCAATTCGGGAAGATAAGGAAAAAGAAGAAAAGAACACGTAATCGAAATGTTCTTCTTATGAATGACACATGTGGTTAAAATCATGCCGAGGGAAGATTCTCTCTTGGGTTCTTCAAAGAGGCTTCAACACGAAGTCCTCGTTCCCCTCACCACGTGGCAAATATTTGATGATGAAGTGAGGCTCCCTGAGATGAAGCATTTATTGTCGTTTAGGCGTCATTCACAGTTTCCTCTTTTCTTTTTTACGGCTAGGTACAAGTAAGAGGTAATACAGCTAGCTACTCAAACACACTCCTAGTAACTGAACGCAGGCGAGCTTGCACTCGCACTAATCATGTGGTTCCTAGACTTGTAGGAAAACTAATAGCAATGGCCTCCAACCTAATAGCGATGGCGTCCAACCTACTAGCGATGGCCTCCAACCTACGAGCGATGGCCTCCAACCTACGAGCGATGGCCTCCACCCTAATAGCAATGGCCTCCAACGTGATGGCCTCCAAGAAGATTTGATTCCTAGATTCCTTAGAACAATAAATGTGTTTTTCTTGGTCCTTACTTTCTCTTTTTTTACTCTCCTGACTTGCACATACTAGGGCAAAGCGTAGCATGCCGTTTGACTTCACTGATTCACTTCATGTTTGGAGAAGGGAAAGACTTTGAGTTTGCAACCAGGCTTCTTTCGGATGTCTGTGGACACCGTGATGGCTTGGTCGTCGTAGGTCCGGGCATTGATCATTACACCCCGCAAAAAGCCAACCAAGGTCCTATCCAAAACCAAAAAATAGATGAATCGACAAGGAAAACCTGTCTTGTGACTGGATCGATCTGTGTCAAATCAATCTTTCACCCCGATAACTCTCTTCATTTGTTTTCATCTACCCGATTGCATCAAACATGTTCATTCGAACGTTTGGCACGTTTGGCATGCTCCTTGCAGTCCATTGTTGGCAATCGCCTGTACCTTGCAGAAGAGTTGCCAACCCGCCAGGTGTGCCAAAGCGGAGATTGACAACTATAATCACTCACTTAAAAGCCCAAAAAGGGTCTAATTACATTTAATTACACCTTTCCTAGCACTCGTTCTCGCACGCAATCCCAACACTCCCCCACTGCGTGGCACCCAGCACCTTCATCAACCCATCAACGGACTGACGGATTATTCATACCTCTTTCCTAAGCACACCCTTGCAAGCCCTCATGTTTTGAAGGCCTGCAACTTGTTGCAAGCCTCGGCACAAAATGTTTGGGCCGCCGTGGCTTCTCGATGGTCCCAAATGTACACGCGCGTAGTGCTCAGCACGTCCTCTGGATTTTGAGCACGCGAAAGCGAAAGGACCTACCTCAAAGGTCCAAGGAAGAAACACCCACACTAGGAGCTTCCTATTGCTAGTAGCTTAGTCCCTTAATTAGGTAGGCACCTTAATTGAGTAGTAGCCGGGGAACCTAAGTGTCCGTAAAAATCTAGGAACCAACTGAATAGTGCGAGCGCTTCTTCAAGGAAGCTCCCTCCCGCCCTCAGGCGGGGGTAGCCTCCTTGAAGAAGAGTGAGCTATCCTGCGTCCGGCTACTAGAAGCTAACTGAGCCTAGTAGCTTGCCTCCTTTCTTAATCAAGTAGGAGCGGGCAAAAAAGCTCCTAGTAGCGTCCTTGTTCCTAGTAGTAAGGCCAGGAGCCCCGTTCGTAGCATCCTTTCACACAAAATATCCCGGCCACATGCTGTCGCTCCTGCCGGTCCAGGATCGGTGCACGATAAACATTTTGGGGCATCATCCAAGCCTCAAGGTGATTGCCGTCATGAACACAACATGTCCAAAAGCGTTCAAAGGGTTCAATCCATGTCATTCATGCTACAAGATTCTCTGGTTCGTGCGATGCCCCTTTGAACTCTTCAAGATGCTTTCGAAAATCATGAACTCATTGTGCAATGGTGTGCAGCGACTGATGGAGAAGCCTGGTCAGTCTCCTGTTGTCGTAGAGAGACGAAGGGATACCTTGTGTCACAGAGCTTCATGGGCATGCACAGCGCACACAGGAGCAAAGAAACTTGAAAAACAAATTTCAAATCTCTTCCTGTGCTTTTCTTTCTTTCTGTTTCTCTTTAAACCTTTAGACCTTTCTTTTTTCTCCATTCAGAAACTTCAAGACGGATTCACTTGTTAAACCTTCTGCGTCCAGGTGCAACGGACCCTGATGGCCCATCAGTTGTTCTGGAGGTATCACCAGCTCCACATCAAAGTATCGGAATTCTGCACAAGGCGTTGGTGTCGTTCTGAGAGAAAAAACTTTCTTACGATGGCCTCCAACCTAATAGCGACGGCTAGCCGCTAGCCAGCAATACCAATTACTACCCATGCTGAATGAAGGTGTCAAGTGTCAAGGATCTCCAGTCTCAAAAGACCCGAACACCCGCAACCTGCCTGGATGGTAGGAAACATCATCAAAGATCTTGATGGGAAGGTCAATGCGCTCCTAGAGCGACGAGCTCGGTCCTCCATTTTGCTCCGGTCTATCTCTGGGTCTTCATGGGTCTTCGTCAGGTTTTCCGTGGCCGGCACTAAATCAGTCTTGAAGGACAAAACGTGACCCACCTACCCACCATACCACCCACCTCAAAATAGTATTTATATGGTGGTTCCGCCTACCTGACTGTTTATTTTGGTAGTCAAATGGCTCCAGTATAGTGAGGCATAGTTTGTTCAATGCCCAATAATATCCATACCATAACTAACTGTTTTTGTTTTCAGACACTGACCCCAAAAAAAAGGTATTATTAATAAGTAGGGTACATACAAAACATCTACGGCACTACAGCTGCTCCACTCAGACGAAGCACCTGAAAGCGTGCTTGCAGCTGGGAGCTGTAGTTCCAAGCCTCCGTTCCTAGCGGCCCCGAGTGACGGGACAATCGGCCAAACATGGCGAGACTAGTCAGGTCTGTGATAAAAGTAGCTGCTTGCTACTAGAAGCGTCCTTGTTACTAGAGTCATCAATACATACATACAAGTCTTTGTGCACATCTGTCCAGTGACTTGGTAAGCAGCTGAAGATTTACACAGTTCAATTTTCGTTGTGTGTCTGGTGTTTGTTGAAGCAACCCATGACAACGACTCAATCCATCAAAACGATTCGGCGCTTCCTTCCATGGGGATCATCTGCGACTCATCCACACCAAAGGTGATGTTCGCCACCGTGGGTTCGAACGACGCTAGCTCACCTGTCGCTTTGTGCCCCGTCAGAGTCGAAACGGCTCAATCTTAACCTTCCGTTGAGTTTTATTGATCCTGTTGTTCTACTCCATCGCTAGTAGGTTGGAGGCCATCGCTGCTTTTGTCTTTTTTCCTGTTTTGTTTTTTACAGAAAACCAGGGCCACCAACGGCGAAACACCGCATTTACGAACGCGGCGGCCTCCATACACCAGGCTGCTACTGTGTGCAGTCCCATCTCTTGTTCGCACGACCACGGTGATGGGACGAGCAAACTCTGCTCCTCAGAGCGCCCGCAAGAAGACCGTGAAAGACACAACCGTTCGGCAGGGCCAGATTCTTGCTGACTTCTGTTACTTCTGTTCAAGAAAGCCCCCCGGAGTAAAGTAGTTGTACGCATGATTACAAATCTGCATGAAGATACAGCCGAACTAGGTCTAGACCAAGGTGGTCTCTGCCCACCGAGCAGCTCAGCGCGTAGATGCTTCGCTGGATGACCAAGGTGACATTTCCCTGGTCCTCGCACGTTTCATAGTTTTACTACTTGAGCTTCAGCCCAGGCCGCCCTTGCCTTGTAGACGTGATAGATGGGTGAGCTGAACTCAATGGGGCCATCTGAGACACAGCGTCCCGAAGGATCCTGACAGGTCGATCCGAACGGCGAAGAGGAAGCGGAAGTCGTTCTCCATTCCGATCGGAAGTCGTTCTCCAGGCTCCTCACCAAATGGCATTGGCTCCAAGACATAGAGAGGATCACAGTGTGTGCATCGGAGAACCTGAGCTAGGCGAGCTAGGCCCAGGCCAACTCATGAAGCTACAAGTTGTGGCCCACCAGTACAACTCATGTAATGTGTTCAGTGACACATCTACATCTGACGTGCTTCAGCAAACTATCTACATGAACAAGTCAAAACCAAGGATGAAGTAATGAAGTGGTAATAACCGGAAAGAACCGGAAAGAGGTTACCTTCGAATCCCGAGCTACGACAAGTCCATCGGGCCCCGTGGGTTCTGGTCCACAAAGCTGACAATGCGGGAATCGATTGGAGCACCTTTCGCAGCCTCAGCGAAGAGGGGAAGAAGCGGGAAGAAAGGGTGAAGAATCGAAATGAAGTAAGACCTGTTCTTTAGAATCTGTCGACCCTTTGTAACGAAAAAAAGGAAACCACTCGGCAGTGAAAACCAGCAAAGAAGTCTTCTTTTAAGTGCAAACGTTGTGCAACGCCGGGTCCCGAGGGTCCCAAGCATCTTTTCGCCGCTCTGTCGTAGCTGACTTCTTGGCAGCCTGTCCTTTCGTGTTCGAAACATCGTTGAATTCCTTGCACCGAACTGCCTAGGTGAGACAAGTGAATTCAAAACATCACAGAACCACACACAAGATTTCGATTTCGAGAGCCTTTGACTCTTCTCATGCCGCAGGGCTGTGTTTCATGGCAAGCAAACCGAAGACCTTCCTTTTTCGCTCAAATTCAGGCCTGTCTGTGGCATGTCTAAAAAGACCCGAAGGTCGCCATTCGGGTATATGTACAGGAAGTTCGGCGAAGAGAAAGCCACAAATAGCACAATCGAACCGGCTAATGTTAGATCTGTTTGGATGAATGTCAAGTAACTGTTGAGCATGATATGTTGGATGCATTTTTGTGTGACTCTTGGAGCTTGTAGAGCCATTCTTGCTCGTGTTGCTAGTGCTCAGGGGCGCCTGGGCACAGCACGCGTGTGTCCTGGCGGAGCCACCTGCATCTGCGCCTGGAAGAAGGCGCTCCACCGAGCAAATCCAACTTCTAAGACCCCTCTAAACCATTTTGATGGCCCGATGGCCTCCACTCTACTAGCGATGGCGATGGCCTCCAACCTAAACGCTGTACAGTGGTCTTGATGGTCCTCTTTGTTCTCGAACGTGCTTGATGTTCGGAGCCAGTGTTCAGCACGGACAAAAAAGGCAACTTTTTGCTAGCGCAAAGCATTGTGAAGGCCAAGATTTGTTTTGATTGGAGGAACAGATATGCACGAGTCGAATATCACGCACACTGAAGACCCGCTCTTGGTGCTAGTTTGAAGCGAAGCACCTCTGTCTCGTCCGACTGGGAGGACTCTGACTGAAAGTGGGCCTCCGACGTGGGACCGCAGACGCTTTTAGCAACTAGTAACAACGGCCTCGCTACTAGGAACAAGTGCCACGCTACTAGGGGCTCCTGGCCGTACTACTAGGAGCAAGAAGCTACTAGGAGCAAAGGGCTACTCTAGCATTCTACCTAATAGCAATGGCCTCCAACCTAAGAGCGATGGCCTTCAACCTAAGTAACGATGCCCTCCATCCTAGCAATGTTAGTTGTGTTCCTTCTACTTGAGAATTGTTGTCTGTTTGAGTCAAAATCTTCAAGCTTCCATCCACCCTCTCATGCCTGACGTCGCCGCTCATAGCGTTCCTCCCGTGCATTCCGGGTTTGTGCACCCGCAGCCAGCTGCCCTTGGGGCTGTTGGGGCTGCCCTTGACCTTGACCTTGTACAAAGGCGAAAAGCTCATGGCGCTGGGGCCTTAGCGCAGCTGGGCCACTGACTTTTACTTCTATCTCACTCTCCTTAACTATGCTATTGAGTGCTTTCTGGGATCCGAACTCGGATCTTCCGAAACCAGAAAATCATATGCAAAACAATCGCAGTCTATATCACCACCCAGTAAAACGGAAGGTCCGACTCAAACAGCCGGACCTTAAGTCCTAGAGGGCTTGGAAAAGAAAAGGGAAGGTGGACTTGGGCTCCTTTGATAAGGCCCCCTACCCCTATCGCCCAAGTGCACCTTCCTTTCCTTTTCGGCAGCTGGAGGCCATCGCTAGTAGGATAACACTTTCTTCTCCTTCAACCTCTTTCGACCTCCAGTCACATTCCGTTCTCCCAGGTCTCCCTGCGGCTTTGGAAGGGCTCTCGCCTGAAACAGCTGAAGGGAATGGACTCGGAATGGACCGAAATTCGATAGAAAACTGGAAACTTTCCGTGATTCCTTTTGAAAGTGCTCCTCTTCCACAAAAAGATCAAAGAAAGTGTAATTCTGTACAAACCATCACACATCATGGCTCTTCTCCATTTTATTGATAGGAAAATGCCACAGGTCATTGAGACGTCTATTGCAAACCTGGCAGCGCCTCCTTAGCGCTGGAGGGCCGTCGCACCCGTACGAGCAAGTCGCCCTGATGAACGTTGGCGACCACTCGGACTCGGTGCCCTACATGCGTTCTTGTTACTACTAGTATGGCACCTGTTACTACTAGCGTGGCACTTGTTACTACTAGCAAACATTGTTACTACTAGAAAGGCACTTGTTACTAGAAGCGATGCACTTGTTACTAGTAGCTTCTTGTTCCTCTTGATTTTTGTCCCACAAGTTTCGGGATCTAAAGAGAAAATGCCTCTGATCCAACTCCGTAGGCCATATTCAACGAGTCCGAGAGGAATCACTTGCGAAACAAAAATGTGTGAAAGTGGCGCAGGACAATCGTACCATATCGTACCTCTGGCGTCTTCTCTGGCTCATCTGGAGCCTTTGTGGCTGGTGACCTTGTGGCATTCCAAGCGTGATTTAACAATAGAAGTCCCTGGCTGAAACCTACTCTTTCAACGCCTGAGCCACTTCTGGCGATGCCTTTGGTGGCCGTTGGCCCTAAACTAAACCTACTGTGTGTTTAAAATGCTTTGCGCAAAGGAAGCATGAAAAAGTGCATACAGTCCCTGGCTTTTGGTTCTCCAGGCAGGAATCAGTCTCACGAAATCTCGATTTGCATCAACTACCGCTTCCGTTTCACAGTCTTGTTTTGATTTCTCCAACAGCGTCCTTGCTCCTAGTAGCGATGCCCTCTGTTCCTAGTAGCTTCTTGCTCCTAGTAGTAAGGCCAGGAGCCCCTAGTAGCGATGCCCTTTGCTCCTAGTAGTATGGCCATTGTTTCTGATAGCAAACATTGTTACTACTAGTAAGGCACTTGTTACTACTAGCGATGCACCTGTTCCTACTAGCGATGCACCTTTTTCTTTTCTCGTTTGTTTCCAGGTATCCGTGCCAATGCTGGGCCCGTCGCAGCTTCCCCATACGCCCCAGCCGTCGGAGCAGCTCTTCGGCGCTGGGGCGCTTCTCGGCGTCCCGCGTCAAAAGCATCGAGACCACCTGGTTGAACTCCTGACGGAGGAACAAGGACGCTACTAGGGGCTCCTGGCCTTACTACTAGGAACAAGGACACTACTAGGGGCTCCTGGCCTTACTACTAGGAACAAGGACGCTACTAG